GAGATAAGGGAATTCCTGGATCAAGCATTGGAGGAAATTTGCCTACGTGGGGGAACTCTTTTTTGTAACTAACCCGCGTTTGCGTTGCATGGAGAGGAAAACCACGAAAACATCTCTCGGTTACCTAATTGGTAGAGGATTCCTGAACCGCCTACCACCGAGAATATTTTGCGCCAGCACTGTAGTCGGCGTGAGCTGGGTGTGGAATTCGTATAGAAAAGCCATTGCTGGGAATCGAACCCAGTTAACCTCATTGGTAGGCGAACGTTCTATACCCTGAGCCACCACGGCTCTCGTTAAGATTGAGCCTGCAATCAAAATCTGAGCGAAAGATCAAACATGATTATTAGATCCAAAGATATTTAGGGTGTTCTTTTTCTACGCACTGATCAATAATAAAAGTACTTAGAACACTTTCATTTTTCTTTATTAATTAATTTTTAAATTTAATATTTTTTTGCCAATTTTTATGAATTTTTTTTTATATGATTGCATTAATTTTAATTGGTACTTTTGAATACAATAAAAAATATATAATAAATATATAAAATATGTAACAAAAATAATGCATTTTGAAATCATTTTACTATTTGTTTTTATATTTTTAAATAGTTAAAGCATCTCGAATTAGATGGTTGTTGATTCACATATATCGTTATAAGGACTTGTACTTAACAAAAAAAATTTAACCTTTTCTTAAATCGAAGTAAAGCGTAGAAGATGAAGGCCAGTCATGAGATGACTTGATAGTATTGAGAATGACTTAAAGTTCACTGTTACAATTTTTATTCTAAAATTATGATAAAAAAAAAAAAACGTCAGAAATCTATCCATCCATTTAACCGTAAAATTTAGGGTAAATAACATTTTTCACCATGTACGGATTTGAAACCGTTTACAACTAGCATAGTTATAAGACTATAAATATAAAACTAGACAGTTTTTTAAAAACAATTTTCAACAAGCTGTAAAANCCCAACAAAAAAATAGAACCTTTTCTAAAATCGAAGTAAAGCGTTGAAGATGAAGGCCAGTCATGAGATGACATGATAGTATTGAGAATGACTTAAAGTTCACTGTTACAATTTTTATTCTAAAATTATGATAAAATAAAAGTCAGAAATCTATCCATCCATTTAACCGTAAAATTTAGGGTAAGTAACATTTTTCACCATTTACGGATTTGAAACCGTTTACAACTAGTATAGTTATGAAACTATAAATATAAAACTAGACAGTTTTTTTTAAACAATTTACTACAAGCATGGTTTCAAAACTGTAAAAAAGCATTTAAGTGGACATTTGTTAGGTAATGGGCATTTTAGATTGCAGGACACAAATTGCTCAGTGCAGGACACTGAAAACTTTTCATGTGAAGAGAATGGAGGAAGTATTGTGGTGTCAACGCTAGGACTTGAACCTCTGTTTTGTCGGCCATGGAACTGACAGATTAGCTTTCTTGAGAATTAAATGTACCCATCTGCAAGAAACAAAGTGACTTCATTAGATGGACCTAGTTGGTGCTATAAAATTCTGGTTGTTTAACTGCATTAAGTGAAAGCAGTTAATAAACCGTTTTTCTTACAGTTAACAGTTTGAATACCATATTATTTATGGTTATTTGACTGTTTAGTTTGAATATGGTAAAATAAGAATTCAATAAATTGTTATTTAACCATTTTTTCTAAGAAATTTCTAGCTGTATTTATAGAAATAAACCTTTGGAGAAGTACTGTGTTCAATCGAATCACGTGCAGGAAGATCGAAGACACTGCTTTAGTTCAGTGGTTCCCATTTTTTCTCGGTTATGGAACCTTAATGATAGAAATTCTTTTGGCGGAACCCCAACTATAGAAAAAAGTTCATTAGCAGCTGAGAATATACTGATAAGAAGATTAAAAATCATTTTAAAAATCTTTAATAATAGGAAAGAAATATTTTAAATTATTAATTTCTTTTCATTCATTTCTTTTAATTTCTCTCATTATTAATTAATTTTTTTATATCTTTTGTGTATATTTGTGCTGAAAATTAATAAAGGAGAGTTGAATTATTGTTCTCAGAAAGGAAATGAACGTTGAAAATGAATTAGCAGAGAAACATAATTCTTTTTTCTTGAATTTAGTTCTTTTATTTTAAATAAGAAAGTTCGATAAGAAATACATTTGTAGAAATACATCCCTTACATAATTTATACATTATATTGCTATTGAAAAATTAATTTCATTTCAAATTTTACTACTTCCTTTTCCATTGGCATTTTCAGAAATAAATTAGTATAAACTACCAAATTATTGAATGAATTAGGGATTATTAATTAGATTTAATTAGAATTATTAATAGTTTGTAAAAAAATTTATCAGAACTTGGAAACTTTTGGGAACAATCGCTCTAGCCTGTAAAAATGCAATAATAGTGGAATAACAATAAGACTTTTTTAACATATGATGATTACATAGTTTCTCACTAAACTAATAGAATTTCCAGCTATTGATTTCTAACATGTGTTTAAGTTAATAAAAAGTTTTATATTTTGCAGAATTAATTAGATAAGTAAGGATAATTAGTACAATTTTATCCAACAAATATATGAAAACACAATATGAATGTAATATTCACTTATTATTAAATTGTGAACTTCTCAATTTACGTCTTAATTAGATACTAACTAGATACTTCTCAATTTAATATCTCAATATTAAATGGAGAAGTACCTTTATATGTTTTGAAAATGCTTGAAAAGTATCTTTACAATTCCTTATACTAATATTTTGCATATTTTAATAACTTTAAATTTTAAATTTCTATATCTATAGACTCAACTCTCTTTCTATATTGAAGTTCGAATTGCTTTTCCATACATAATGACTGTATTAATATTTTTTCTAAACTGTATGGAGTTCAAATTGTTTTCCTCAATTAAGTTTAGGAAGAAATAAATGGTTTCGAATTTTATTTTTTGTGCTATTATTTAATATTATATCTTCAAAAAATGCATACACGAGGGAGGCTTATAATTACATCGGATTTTTTTAAATATTATTGGAATGTATTATTCAAATATTTTTTTAAATATCATTTATGATTAGATCTAATTTTTTTTATTGTATATAATGTTTTAAAAATAGCTTTTACTTCCATGCATATGTCATTTATAAAAAAGTCACGCATTCTCTCAAAACACTTATTGAATTTAAAGCACGGAAATTTTAATTACAAACTTCATTTTTAGGTTTGCTTGATGAATATTTGATTGGCACTGTAATATTTTGAAATCCATTTCTGGCAGAAACATAATCGTTTATATTTAACACAATTTATTTTCAATTTGTAAAACACACCAGAAGTTAAAAAATACACATTTTTTAAATGGCAATGTAACGGTATTTTCAAATTGATGTACAAAGATTTTATTCGAAAAAGTAACTTTAAAAATTCATAATTTAAACACAAAAAACTGAAATCCTCTTGCAATTTTTTTCTCACATCATTTTGCTTCATTTCTCTGTTTATAAATTGTCGCGTGACTTCTAAATCTTTGATCACAGGAAGCTTTTCTTCATATGCATGCAAATAAAATAATTACGAGCCTAATAAGATTGGAAAATTAAGGAAATTCAAAACTTTAAAGATGTCTATCGTACGGACACGTCTAGTGTAGAAACATTTATTTAATTTATTCTTTAGACACGCGATGTGTGAAAGCATTTTTGAAATGTGAACGTTCTATTTGATGCGCTCCAATACATAGATGTCTGTTAATTACCTCCCAGCGAACGAGAACTGTAATAACATTTTTTCCCAAAAAAGTGAATTTGTATTTCATTTTGTGGAATTTGTAGCAAACGCTTAGATCTTCCCGTTGAAGAAGTTCGCGGTGGAATACCAGCGCACTTTTTGTAACGATGATTTGGGGTTTCGTTTTGATTGGCACAGGTACCCTAAAATTTGTTATTAGATATAAAACTAAGAAAAAAAAAGATTTTTTAATAGAATTATTTTCTTTTTAAAAGCTAGAATACAGAAACTTGTTTAGTATAGTGCATTAGAATTTTATTGAATAGAAAATCTTATAAAAAACTAATTTCATTATGGAAAATTATAAATGTGTTGCTGAATCTAAAACTAAATAAGTAAATATATTTTTTGAAAGAATCTTATGTTAATCAGCATTAGACTATAATATTTAGCATGGAATATTATTTTCAAGTTATTAAGATTTCATTGAAAAGAAAATCATTTTTCAAAACGATATTTAAACTATAAACGATATTAAAGTTTAATTAACCAGAATTTTACATAAATATCAACTAAATACGTATATATTTATACCACACATTTTGGAAAAAATACAGAACTGAACAGTTAAACCGAATAAATGATTTTTATGCCATGCTCTATGGTATTATGATAAAATTACCGAATTTTATAGCATTTACCAAATTTTATTATATATTATGAAACCATTAATTTTACAAAATGTCATTATTATACAGTAAGGTATTTTTACCAGATCAAAATTACTTATTTTTTTAACCAGAAATGTTATTACCATAATGTACTATAATTTTACCAGTACTTTTTTTCTCTGTGCACTATATTCTTAGTATTATTCTTCAATATTATTTCAAAATTGTGAATCTGTTGACGTGTTACATTGGTAAACTGTAGTGAGAGTCTAAATTAAAGACATTGGTAAACTACATCGAAAATTTAAATTAAAAATAATTTTAAGTCCTTCTTTTTAAATTGAAAAATCGTGCTTTTTCTTCTAGCTTTATAATTAATATAATCTCAAAATAAATTGTTAGGAGCATGTTGTTTAGCTTCATGGCAAATTTTATATATTTACCGTTATTTTTCATTAAAAATATAATAATTGAAAATAAAATTTTATCTTTATATTTTTTTAATGATTGCTGTTCTATTACAATTATTTAATTTTAGCAGTAAAAAATGCACATGTAGATCATTTATTTGAATATTTTCTTTTGTTTCAGTTTTATTGCGAGCTATTCAGTGCCAAACAGACTCCCAAAATTCCGATTTGAATCAGGTAAATTACTACATATACTTTACATATGTATTACTTTACATATATAATACTTTTGAAATACTTATATTATAATACTTAGTCTTACAAGGGAATGTCATGAACTGACCAAATTCGATGTTTTTTGCTTTATAGCGAAATATGAACTTGATCAGCTGTTCCCAAAAGATGTTCCACGGTTCCTTAGGTTTTCGGGAGAGGATGACAGGAGTTTCGAGAATTAGGATATTTTAAACCCATAATTATATTATTTAAATCCAATTGATAATCCATAATTTATTTAATATTTCACTTGTTTATATGAGTTTCTTAATGGAAAATGCCAATGAAAATAGAGTAGCAAAATATAAAATATATATTTTTTCAATAAAAATATATTGAATAAAGTACGAAAAGAAAATGCATTTTTAAAAATGTCATAAATATTTCTCTTTGAGCTTTTCAATTCAAAACAAAATAACTCAATTCAAAAGTAAAGAATTACATTTTTCTTATAACTATTTTATAGTTTCAAACAGTTCTTTTTTTAAAAAAAAAAAAACCATAATTCAGCTAAAACCATGTTCAGCATGTGCATGCACCAAGAAAAATTTCAAAACATTAAATATTTCATTCTACACATTAAATCGTTTCAAAATAATCATTAGTCTTTTTCTTTCTTTTTATTAGTACATTCACAGGTGCTCAGGGGTTTAACCGAAAGAAGTTAGGGTCCAATAGTCGATAGAAATAGAGAACCACTGATTTAGATATTACGTAAATGAAAACAGTGTTTTTTTACGTTGACTTTAAAAGTACTTGAAAATGATAATATTAATTACTAGTGTTTGCTCAATACATTAGCAGAAATTAAATTTCATAGTTTTATGAAGCAGTACGCATTTTGAATGAATTATACTTTCAAAAATTTGCTACAGAAGTTTAATTTTGTTAAATACATGCGAAGACAGATAATGTTGAAATTATTTGAACTTTCGTAAATACAGATCGAATGGTAAAAATGGGCTTTACAACTGACTGGTATTTGATTGCATTTAACGGTCTACGAAAAAACTACATAGCGAACAATACTTAACTTGCATAGACAGTATTGTCAAATGTGAAATAGGTACAAGTTGAATTTTGAATTTTTTGTAAATTAAACCATTAAAACTTTTAAACTGTCAATCTAATTAAATATATAATCGCAAGAAATTGAACCGGTGAGATATTACCTGATTAGAAACGTCATTCGCTTCAAAATAGGCGCTCATTTTCAAGATTTGCCAAGCGTGAATGAATAGAAACTAAAACGAAAAATAAAGGCGAGCAACAAAACTAGAAAAACCACAGTTGTCGAGAGAGAAAAATAGATGAAAAACAGAACAAGAAAAATCGCAGTGGACGAGAGGTATTTAATCAGGGTAAAATGCATTTCCACGCCCTATATAGGGCTGGTGAGAAACGAAGGTCATTAACAAGGGAAGATCTTGTTTTATTCACATTAATGGAGATTCTCTTCTTAACAACATTAGTTCCTCACCAGCACTCCATAGCGCGTATAAATGCATTTTAGCCTGATTTGCCCCTCTAGCCCACTGTGTTTTTTTGTTCTGTTTTTCATATTTTCTCTCTCTTTCTCGGCTACTATGGTTTTTCTAATTTTGTTCCTCACCTTTTTTCCCCATCTTTTTGTTAGCAACTTTACGTTTTATATTTAGATCACTTATGTTTCTTCTCATTCGTGTCTGGCAAGTCTTAAAAATGGGCGCGTATTCTTGAACGCTTGAATCCTGCCGATTGTTAGTCTGATTGCTTCGAACTTGGTCTCATTCTGCCCAGCTCGGTGAGTGTTTAAGTGGTGAGATGTTTCGCATGGATTTTAGGTTATCTTTAAAATCAAATTATATTATTGCACGAGAAATTTCTTGTTCTTAAAAACTCAGGATTAGTTTAACTGTTATGCTGTGAGATCATGCGAATCATGTGAAGAGTTTCAGTAAGTTAAATGTAAATCTTTGTTGAGTACTTATATTTTTAAAATTTTCTATTACTTTTAATTCATTTTTAAATTTTTATTGATAATAATTATATTTTTTATATGAATCTTCAATTTTTTAAATATATATTTTTTAACCGTTCTTTTAAATTGATGCAAATGTAACATATGAAATAATTGTACAAAAAATTTATACAATTGTATGTTCTTCAAATTGATACAACCTTAAATATAAATTAATATTACAAATTTATATTTAAGGTGGTTTTATGATCTCGAAAAAATTTGATATTTTAGATTTGTCTTCATTTATTCGTGCTTGAATATAATATGCAAGGCAGATTTTTATGATACTATATTTAAATGAATAACTAAGAAATTGCATTTTCGCATTTCTTGCTGGTGTTGTGGGCTTTTCCTTGTCTTTACTCTTTTTTTTCTTTATCAGTGATTTTTTTTTACTAAATAAAACACCTTCTTCTTTTAAGAAAATAAAAAAAATAAAATAAATGTGTGTAGTGCTGCCATCTAGAGAAAAAATAACCATTCATTTTCCGATGAAAGCTACTTACGAGACATAACTGTAGTTATATTATAAATTAAAAAAAGTGAACGAGATTTCTTCATTTTTGTCTTAGGTATGCCTGTTTTGTTTTTTATTGTTTTATTAGTCATTTTCTCTTGTCTTGGATTAGATCCTGAGTTCATGAAACCTTAAAAACACCGCAAATATCATTATTTCAGTTTCATCTTTGCTTGTGAGATTGAAAATAAATAAGTAAGAAAAATATAAAAGTAGTTTATGCTCTTTAACTGATTTGCTTTTATGCAGAATCAAACATGTTTCAAATTTTACAAAATAATTTTCGGGATGATAGAAAAATTTTTAATTTTGCCAAAATAGTAGAAATTTAAAAACTTTATTTATTGATTTCTCTGAAAAATATTTTCTTAAATTATGTATTACGATAAAGCTTTACCATTCAAAAATACGTTTATTATTTTATACTTAATATTTTGTAAGGCTTTTCTTATAAAAAGAATAAATACAATTGAAATACGGATAACATTGCATCAACATTACACGTTGAATTAAATTGAAAATGTTTAAATAATAATTACTCGTCGGTTTAAAGGAATGAAAGAAATTGAGTTATATATGTACAAGTGTATAGTAATGCCAGTTATACATGTTTTTAACTTTTGAATAGTCTCTGAAAAATCTGCTATGGGAAACATTACTAGAGAAACACTGAGAAATTAGCTTAATATTTTGAACACGTTTTAAATAATTAGTGTAACACGTCAAAAAGTTTTTTATTTTGTTAAAATAAAACTTTCAGTGATTAAAGAATCACATTTTTAAACAAACGATGGATATAAATAATGCCTTCATAATCGTTTTCGATTTTTTTAATGTTAATATAAAAAATCATATATAAAAAATCATATTGAAAATCATAGTTTTAAAGCATTATTCTTCAGTAAAGTGTAAGTTTTAAACAAAATAGGGAAGTATGGTAACTCATTGTTACTGGAAAAATATTATCTTTCTAAAAAATTCAGATATTTATTTTTATTTATCCACAAATAAACGTCTTCATGTGCCAGTGTACCCCGTTAGAAATTTCTTGGAAAAAATTGGTTAAACAATATTTTAATCGTTTATTACCATATTCAACCAAAACAGTCAAATAACAATACAAAAAGATGATATTCAGACTTGTAAGAAAAATCATTTATTGTCCGTTTTCATCTAATATGGATAAACAACCAAAATTTTTTTCGTGCCGACTAAGATCACCATATGAAGCAACTTAGCTCCTGGCAGTTGTGTATATATTGCATCTGCTAATTTCCTGACCGGCTGGACGGGGATTCGAATCCTTTCGATGGCACCACATTAATGCACTACCCTGCACTACCGAATTCGTAACACTGGGCTATTAAAATACGAAACTCTTATTCCGCATAGAGGACAGTACCACAGAACAGTTAAAAACAAAAAAAAGACTGCTTAATTAGATAGACAAATAAAGTCGCATTTTACGGATTTTTTGACAGCACACAACTCAATCACAATTTAACTCCGATGTTCATTACCTGATGAAAAGCCTCACATATTCTATAACTACTTATGTCCAGCAAAATGTCATTTTTATGGTTTTAAAATCATGCCTTTTTCTAAACGGTTATAAAACTGTAAAGGTAAAGCTAACCACGCACTTCAGGGTTAATTCAATAGACATACTGCTGCTGGTTATTTTACTATGATTTTAGAATGAAATTTATAATAGTTTAATCCACATTATGAATACTTTTAGTATTTAAAATTTAAAAAAAAATGAAAAAATGTTTTGAATACAACTGGAAAAATATTTTTTTTATTTTTTTTTATTCTTGTACTTTAGTTGTGCAAACTATTATTCACGTAAAAGCAATTTTGGTGAATGTAGGCAAAAAAATTTCATTTTTATGGTTTTAAAATCATGCCTTTTGTAAACAGTTATAAAACCGTAAAGGTAAACGTAACCACGCACTTCAGGGTAAATTCAATAGACATACTGTTGCTGGTTATTTTACCATGATTTTGGAATGAAATTTACAATAGTTTAATCTACATTAAAATTTTATAAAAGATGACAATTTTTTTTGAATAAAACTGGAAAAATATTTTTTTGTTTTGTTTTATTCTTGTACTTTATACACGTAAAAACAATTTTGGTGAATCTAGGTCTAACCACTGATAAGTGATTCCAAATTTACAGTGTTTTGATATTTCCTTCCTTGACTTGGATTAATGATCACTAAATTGATACAAAACATCACATTTACCAAATTTTTAGCAGTGAACAGCATGAAATCTTATGTTTAAGTGTTGAGTAATAACTTAAATTTTATTACCATGCATGAATGCAGATCCTGAATACGGTAATATTGGTGTATTTATTTTATAAAAAGCAATTTATAAACTCTACGCAAGCAGAAAATAATGAATTGGTTTTTTTCAAAAATATTTATCTTTGTATTTGGATGAAACAAACTTTAAGTTATTAGTTGCTTAAATTATTTGAAACGTATCAAATGAATAATTTTTATGATACTTAGGTTCAATAAATTCAAGATACCATTATTTCATCACATGTCTTGTAACAGATTCACCAGTTGCTTTCTTTAGTTGAGAAAATATGAGAGAAATCCTACATTTAAAAAAATTATTTTTTCTTTTAAAATTATTTTATTAAATTATAGAGCTGCATTTTAATCTATAATATCGATATCGCATTATGAAGGAGAGCAAATTTGTGACTTCTATGTCACGGACATGGACACAGGCACACAGCTCTACATATATACCCCCGAAGGAAGCAACATATATGTAATTCAAAGGAAAATAAAATTGTATCATTTCATTCTGATTAATAATAATAAAAATTAAAAAAACAAACAAAAACTAAATGGCTTTTGGCAGGCAACATTTTCTTTTCAACTTGCAATTCGTAAGATGAAATTGATAAGGGGTTAAATTTATAAATTTGAAATGAAATTCTTTGCTGAAAATGAATGAAGATTAAATTATTGGGAAAATAAATATGGAACTTGTTTTAAGAAAACAATAGAGAGAAGAGAAATTAAACAAAATATACCGAAATAGTATTGATGGTTTGAAAATGTAATTTCTTTTAGGGGAGGAAATAAAATGAAATTAAATATGTTAAAAATATGAATATTGTTGTAATATATGAATATTTTTGTAATCTGATATAGTCATCACCAAAAATAACACATTCGAGTGATGATTCACTTTTAAAAAATTCTCATTTTCTATGTTTTTTCTTCGTTTTTTTAATTTGGGGTTGTTTATGTAAATTACTCAAAACTTAAACTAAGAAATATTTCATAAATTACTACTGTTAATTAACGATATCTAAGTTTTTTTAGCTTTCGTTTACAAAGAGTTATGGTAAGTTCCCTAGCAGCATCACCTTAAGAGGAAAAAAAGAATAACTTATAACTTATTGCATTATTTTAGTTTTAATTTTTTTTGCATTTGTCCCTGGTAAATGTCTCATGTTTTTTTCCTGCCGTTATTTGTTATGTTTTGTTATACCGTAGTTTGTACACAGAATTTATTTGAAAATACTTTTTAAAAACACCAATTTTGCTCAGAGGCAGGATCATAGTCAGTGATGTTCTACCCAGGCATGGCCATCATTTAATGTTAGCATAAACTGTAAGAAAATCCTGGACCTTTATTCGTTAATGTTCTATGATCTAGATTTTATTTTATGTTAAATTTAGCAATTATTATGAGCAATTGGTTTTCCATTATTGAAATAATTTCATTAAATACTGTACCGTAATCAAAAAATTGTTTTTTTCACTAATGACATGAAGTTAAATTTTTATTATATTTCATTTTTAAGCTTGCTGCTTTTAAAATACTGATATTCTTGGTTTTACAAAAATCTCTTCTTTCTTTAGGATTCTGAAGTATACCATAATAATGTACCAGCTCATTACGCAGATTCTAGGCCATCAAAAAAAGTTTCAGGATTCCAGAGATATCAATTTCCCAGATATGATAACAATAAAAAGAGAAAACAAAGCGAAGATGATAATACATACAGTATGATGAAAACTGAAAAACACTTTGACGTAACTGACGATGAATCTGACAAAGAAAAAGACAATTATGAATATTATCATGAAAATGATAGAAACGGCAATACCCATGATGATGAATACCCAGAAGATAACGAAGCTAGTGAAAAAGAAACTGAAGCATCGACTGAATTTGATGAGAACGAACCAAGCTTCTACTCTAACGAACCACAAAAAGAAATTTCGTACTTCCCTGATAAAAATAAAAGTATAGGGAAAAGTTTAGTTGCAAAGCAATCATCCCCAGGCGTACATTCAATTCGAAAGTTATTATCACCTGAAAGGATACCTGATACTGAATACTCAGATGATTTTGAAACTGTTGAAAAAGAACATGAAGCATCGAATGAATTTGAGGAAATTGAACCAACTTTTAATCCTGAAGAGCGGCAAAAGGAAAAACAATACTTGTATGATAAAAATAGAAGGCCAGGAAAGAATTTTGTTGCAAAGAAATCCCAGATTGGCTTTCGTTCATTTCAGCAGGAAACACCTCCAGAAATCACACCTGATGATGAATACTCAGAAGATTTCGAAACTAATGAAAAAGAACATGAATCATCTGGTGAAATTGATGAGAACCAAGCAATTTTCTATTCTAAGCCTAAAACTGAAAACTCATACTTATCGGAAAGTTCTGGAAGAAATTTAGCTGCAAAGAAATCGTCGATAGTTTTACATCCAATTCGAAAAGCACTATCTCCGGATATGAGATCTGAAATAGAAAATAATAAAAATTTTATTGTAAAAAACTTCAGTGATTTAATTGAAAATGAGGATGATTTGCGAACGAAGTTTGGTGAAACTAGAATCGATGCTAACACAAAATCTCCTAAATATTTTTATAATGAATTAAGTCCCTCGACTGATGAAACTCCTGTTGAGTCTGATTTGTCAAGTGCAGATGATAACGGTATCAGATATATGACAACTAAATCGAATGAAACTATTATTATTGAAAATACTTCGTCCCCGAAACGTCATATGCGGGAAGGAGATGGAATAAAGATTAAAAACGAATCGTCCACATGGGAAGTAGATTCAGGACTGCAAACAGCTGCTCTTAAAGGATCTGAAGGTACACAAAAAGTAACCATTCTGAAACATATTACTCTAAAGGAAACTTCTCGAAAAGAAGAACAAAATACTCTTAATTCCCCACAAGAATCAAGACAAGAGACACTAAAACCTCAAAGTAGGACATCAGTTGAAAACACAGGACTGCAACCTCGCACAGCCGTCGAAGGAGAGACCATAGTTTTACTAGAAGGTTCTCATATCCCTGGGAAAAACTATGGACCGGAAGATGACACATTTGGTTACTATGCATCTGTTTATCCATACGATAGTTCCAATAAACAAATAGGAGATTTTAAAAATCAAAAGGGGTTGCAAAAAGTTATTGACATTGACAGTCACGTGAAACAAGCTCACCACGTTCATACAGATTCCGGAAAGTTAAATAATGGAGATGTTAGTAGTTATGGTACAATAAGTGATGGCCATACATCAACAAATCTTCCTGCTGAGATAAAATATGATTTAAATTCAAATTCAAATCAACAAGAAACTGAAAAGTCAATATTTGAAGGATATAATAATCATGGAAATGGAATTTCTAAACAATACTTTTTCACTCTGCCAAGCAGCGGCTTAAAAAGTTCGAAATCTTATGAACCAGTAACAAATGTCCATAAAGGTACGGAAGTAACTGCTTCAGAGTATGACAGCGATTCAGCATCCGGCCATGATCAACAAGCTGATATTTTAGGATCTATAGATGCAAATGAACATACTACTAATTTTAAAGGAAACGTACACACTGGCAGTAATGACTATGACAGTCAAAATGAAAAGCTTGTACCAATAACCGAAGCAGATCCAAATCAGTTATATATTGACCCCTCCACTGGTGAACTGATTAAAGTAGTTTATGAAGAAGATAGTGCTAAAATTCATGATTCAAGTATTGGTTATCAACCTAAAGAGTACCAAGATAATAAAAAAGCTGATTTGTCTAATTACCAAGTAAAGCTATTGCAACCTGTAAACTATAACGAACAAACGCAAGATTATTCTTCCAATGGAAAGCAAACTGTAGCGAATTATGAGAATGATGCTGGTATTTCAACCGGTGGTTATACACCAACAGATCTTCATAAAAGTAATGCACAAGATATAAGCTTGGATTTAAAATCAAGTAAATATGGCAATAATAAAGGCTCTCAAGTAATTATTCCATCTTACATCGAAAAAGATAAGACTAACGCAAATGACTATTCTCAAACTCAAGGAGGCAACGGGCAAAAATTTATAATCTTATGTGACAAACTCCATGAGCAGATCAAAAGTCAAGGTTTGAAAGGTTATCCACAAATACAGAATCATCAGATTCAGCTGGACTACAACCCTAGTCTGAACACAAATCATCCTGAACATTCAGGTTCAGAAGAAGGTACAAAATCTCATCACGATTTTAAAGGATCAAACTTTGATTTGTTGAGAAAACCTAAGGGTAACGAAGGAGAGAATGCTTATTTAGGTAACATCCACAATGGTGTAATTGGGGGTGAGGTTACTTTGGGAAATAACTACAAAGGTGATAATATTGTACCCCATTTTGAGAAAGGCAGCAACAATGACTATTCAGGATCCATAACTAACTCAAAAGGATCCAGCGGGTATGGAGAGGAAATAGGGGGTCATTTGATTTCAAAAGGCGAAAAACCAAATTTCAGTGTACATAATTTGAAATCTCCAAACACATCTCCTCCTTCAGGATCTCTTTCGAAAGGGGTAAATATAAACCATTTTCATGGTGATAACCAAAACTTTCAGCATGTAGTGTTCGTTAAACCACAAAGTAACTTTAAAGGAACAAAATATAGACCACCCCAAAAAGCAACTAACAAAGGTATACGTAATCATGAAAACTACAAAGCTTCTCTTCAAAACATGTTTGGATTTAATAGTGGGGAATATTCTCCTATGACACAACCCCAATACGGAAAACATAAGCACAGTAATTTTAATTCAGCTAATGATATGAAAGGTTCTATCTCGCATAAAGAATTTAATTTAATGAATAACGATAAAGGATCAAATTTATACGGTCAAAATAATGGTATAAAAGAATCAAATTCATACGGTCAAAATAATGATATTAAAGTCTCAAATTTATACGGCCAAAATAATAACATTAAAGGATCAAGTTTATACGGTCAAAATAAGATTAAAGTATCAGAATTACATAGTTTAAATCATGATAAAGGATCAAGTTTATATGGTCAAAACAATATTAAAGGATCAAATTTACATGGCTTAAATCATGATAAAGGATCAAATTTATATGGCCAAAATAACATCGGAGGATCTATAATACATGATCAGAATTATAATGGTGGCGTTTATGGTTCCCAGTTCCAAAATTATCATAAAGAAGGAGGACAAGAGAATCCGTATGGAGATTCTGGAAAACAAAATATTAAAGGCATAGGACATTTTAAAGGTATTGGTATTGGAGGTAACATAAAGAATCAAAATACAGATGGATCATATGCTTCGACTCCAAATAAACACAATAGTTTTAAAGGTGCACTACTTGATTCAAATAACGAGACTCCTTACCAAAGTTCTAAGGGCCAGTATGACAATGGTGGTTATGCTACAATTAAATCAGGTGGAATGGTAGGAGGTCAACATAATAGTGGAATTATAGGAGGACATTATAAAGATGCACAGCAATATACCGATAAAAATTCTTACAACATAAAAAATTCTCTAATCGATGCTAGTGCGTTTGGTGTACAACATGGAACTCATCAACCCGAAGAGTACTTTTTGGTAGAAGTTGATGATAACAATCACAACGGAGATTTGCAACCGCACGGAGGCTATTATTATATTCCATTCGGAAATCACCACAATGAACAAAATAGTTATTTAAATCAAAATAATGGTCACTTAGTTCATGCCAGAAGCACTAACGGTGATAATAAACAATCGAACATAAAGTTTGTTTATGATGGTGGCAAAGACAGAACCTACCAACTTAAAAATTTGGCTGTTACAGGAATGCACATGGCTCGAGCAGTGCTGCCATTATTGCAAGCACCAACAGAAAGATCAATAAAAGGCAATATAAATTTTGGTGTGCAGATAAAGCGTAATCCTAGTTTACTTGTTCCTGAATATCGTATTGACTCGAGAGTAGATTCTGCCAGCAATTCTACGAAGTCTTAAATTAGGGAATACGAGCTTAAATTGTAGTTAAATAGCTGAGCTTGTTGAGAAATAAGTTTTTATGAAATATAGATATAAACCTGCAAGTGTCTTGCGGAAACTTAGAGACATTTTGTTAAGTCGTACAGCAAGACAAACACAATAAATAAATCTTATTGTTAAAAACAATGACAAGTCACAATACAGTTGCTGAGTTTAAAATTTTTAAGTTTAATTTTAAAAACTGCAATAATATAACAACCAACGCTTTGCCAAGAGAATGTAAATAATTTTACAGATTTATATAAACCTGTTAAAACACAATATTTTTAACTTTCTTGTGACTTTTCGTTGTTTTTATTTGTGTCCTGTTGTATGTGTGTCTTTATAAGGGTAAACAAGGTTTTGGGTCATACGGTCTAAAAGTTTTTACAATAGATGTAAAATATTGAACAAGTAAAACAGTATAATTTTTTAAATTGTATCTCGTTTTAGAAAATAAATTAATTTATTGTGTAGAACTCTTTTAGATGTTTTCCTAGATACTTTGAAATTCAATTTAAAGAAATATAATTTTACTTACGTCAACTCCTTTACTTTTTCTGTTAGGGAATAGTGATTATGATAGGGATAATCCACTTCAATATGGAAATAGTCAAATTTTCATATTCTTGTAGTATAAGAACGAAAATACTAAATAACTTATAATCCAATGATCGAATGTTCTAAGATATAATTTTAATATTTTGAATATGCAAATCTCAAATATACTTATTTACTGTTTCAGAAAATATTTGTAAAATTAGAAATAAAAGCATTCTTTCTATGAATGTTAGTTATAAGTAACAAAATCAAAAATTCGTTAGAAATTGTTTAAATATTTGTTTGAATTTCACGATTAAAATTACACAGCTTAAAATATTTAAAAATTTATGAACTTTATGCTTATTAGGCTTTTTTGAACTTTATTAAATTGAATAAGAAAAAAAAAAATAAACAATCTTTAAAGTATTATTTGTATGGAAATCTCTTTGTGTTGTATGGTGTTTATAATAATGATGTTAAAAAGTTTTATTCTCGTGAATGGTTGAATAGTGCTAACAATTAACCCTTTGCTAACGACTGGTACAGCTGTGGTCCTGAATAGCAGTTGCTATCATGTGCCGTGGGCAAAGGGTTAAATATCATAGTCATGCTCCAACTCTCAAACCAATATGTGGGTATCGTATTATATTAAAATTAGATTCTTAGATCAAAGATTATTCAGAGTATTCGTTTTTTGTTTTGAGTATTGTAACATTTAATTCTTCGGGGAGCACTTAAATCATCAGTGCATAGAACGCTTATATACTGTATTGCATTTGCTTTTATAGTTATTAGCGTTTTATAGAGAGGTGAAAAATTCAATCAGGGTAAAATACTTTATTGTAGTGATCACATGTATATTGTAGTGATAATATGTATATTGTGGTGATAATATGTATATCTTCTCTGATGTGTCAAAAGCGATATGAGTTTAAAATATATGTATAATATCTTTTAAAGCATTTGAAATACACTTGAATTTCAATGAATACATGTGTTTATGTGTTAATTGTATAGTAATAAAAATATGTATAGAAATAGTGCAGTTTTTCTTAATTAATAGCTGTTTGATCATATGAAATTCTAATATAACCAATTTCTATATATAAAAATGCATGCTCGTTTGTGTGTGGGCGTATGTGACTTATATAGACTAATAAACGTACCTACCGAAATCGATGAAATTTAGCATACAGATAGTATGAAGCACGAAGAAGGGCACAGTCGATATTAAAACATTCTACGACGAAACTTTCGAGAGGGATGAATGAAAAACAAAATGAAATCTACTGTTTGGTTAAACGTTAGCCATTTGTTTTAAATTCAACTGCAGACAATTTAATTGTTGACTTATTTTAAGATAACACCAGTGACAATTTCTAGCTTACAGCTCTATTTGATCAATGAATAGTTTACCGCACGTATTTAAACATTTAGTTATTTTATATTCGCTGTGTTAGATAAATTCAATGAACGTGGTAGCACGCATTATCTGCGTCACTAAATTTGTATTTTTAATGTAGTTTGATATCACGAGCTTTTTTTATTTAAAATATTTCGTTCAAAACGATTATCTGAACTTATTCATTTAAAATCAACGGTAATTGAATGGGAAAAAAATATTTATGTATTTAAAGGCAAAATTAATGGAAATGTGGAGTTAATTCGCTTAGGAGAAACGTAAAAAATCGCTGTAATATTATCGACCCCAATGATGCTTAATTAATTTTGGTAATGTATGCATAGTAAATAAATGAAGCTAGGTACGTACTAGAAAGATTCATTTGTCTAGAAGAATCGCAAGAAATCGTCATACTATCACTAACGGCAATGATGCTGTGGGGGCGGAGTAATCGACCATGCCAACCTTCATCTATCAAAAGTTACCTCTGGTGTCAGAAGTGGGGTACAGATTGCTGTTTTCTCAACGTCATTGGGTTCGACCGGTATCTGGTGATAATCTCTGACTAAGTCCACTGTCGAAAATATTTTACAACCATGTAATTGGTTGTTGAAGTCTTGAATATGTGGCAATGTATATCTATCAGGTATAGTGGCAGCATTTAAATTTCGGTAATCGCCGCATGGTCTGTAGCTTCCATTTTTCTTTGGTACCATGTGTAAAGGACTGGCCCAAGCGCTCTTTGATTGCCGACAGATTCCTCGCTCAATCATGTACTCAAATTCTTTTCGTGCAATTTTTAATCAATCGGGTGCCAAACGTCTAGGTTTAGAAAAAACTGATGGTTCAGTTGTTATAATATGATGGGAGACGTCATATTTGATCTCTTTGACTGTCGAATGTTCTACAGTTATATCTTTGAATTCATTCAACAGTCGATAAATTCTATGATCAGTAGTTTTAGACGACACAGTAGTCAAATTAGTTGACGGAACATGAACAAGTCGACCAAAGGATTTTAAAGATGTGGAAGGATCTATTAATTTTCTTTTTTTAATATCAACTATAAGACCGTATTCTTTAAGAAAATCAGCACCTATTATTGCTTTCAAAACATCCAAAACAATAAAGGTCCAACAAAATTTTCTTCGTTCAATTCGCGTGCACTTGCGAAGCGTTAGCAGCATACAAGTAAAATTTTGGATCAGGAATTTTTTTCTGTTTTGAAGAAACGGGTAAAACAGATACATCAGCTCAAGTATTGATTAGAAAATTTCATTTACTAGAGTGATCATAAATAAAAAGGCGACTTGAATTCTGGCTACCATCGTCTCGCGCCGCCAACGATGGACTAATTAGTTTTCCGATTTTTCGAAATCAGCAACAAATGAACAGGATTTAGTGCACCTGGTTGACTTTTTACCAAAATGACGATGGTACCAATAAAAACCTTCTCTTGAATTTGATCGGTTCCTATAATTAGAACTTTGGCGATTAAAATTATTCCAATTTCTAGAGGTACTGCGTGATCTTCGCAGCTCACTAACTTCTCATATCCGCCCCCACAATGATTAATTAACGTTGGTAATATGTTAATTAAAATAAATTAAAAGCTTATGTACTGAACAGCAGAAACAATGAAGAAAATTCATTTTGAGGAGCTGTAAAAAATTGCCGTATTATCATTGAAACAAATGCTTTATTAATATTGATAATATGTATTAATTGAAATAAAATATGCAATGCGCTAAAAAACAACATTAAAGGAGAAAAGATTAATAGGAAATAGTAGAAAAACCGTAGAAAATCGCCATTCACAGATGACACTTAAATATTGTATACTACTGACTGTAATATATTATACTGATGTTATGGTAATTGGTACAGTTTTGATAAAAATTCTACAACGGATTTTCCGTAGTTTCAGAAAATATTTTTTTCTTTGGTAGCAAAGTTAGTGTATTAATATTTTAATGAATTAAGATTAACTTTAAGAACTTTTTCCCACCACTATTTATAAATATTTTATCTGTAAATTAAAGGTTAGATAGAGAAATGTTTATACTCCAAAACCCTTATCAAGCTCTAATGAGAATTTTATTTAAGAAGAAAATTCGTCTTCAGTTGGCTGCCACTGACAAATGTATTTTGCCAAAACTCAAATGTTGAAGGGTCATGTAATAAGTAGCTAATAGGTATAAAATATTATATTGATATGTTTGGTAATTATTATAACTACACAGATATTAAGCAGTTTTAATACCGATATTTTAGAAATAAGTGTTTTACGGCTCCTCGAAAGGGATATGAACCGGAGAAAATTACATGATATCGGTAAATTTTGACTAATACAAGTTGGCCAAGAGCAACAGCATCATGCCAAGTGAAGTCAAATAAATTTCATATTTATTTTATTGGTAATAAATTTTACTTATCTTTATTTTATTAGCAAGCAAAACTATTACAAAAATTGAGTTTTGCTTGCTTCAATAAGATAAGCCTCCGAAAAGTGCAACAAATATTAAATACATTTTTTAACCCACTGACGGTTTTGATATTTTAATTTTGACCTCTTCCAAATGGTTGCAATATCTAGAAACTGCGGTTCCTGAAATAGCCGCTTGCCTTTTCTAAAACCCCTTGCCAAACGGTAAGAGATAATTCCTCCCCCCTTACAATGGGAAACGGTGGTTTGAAGGGCCATTTTTCTCCTATTATTTACTTGACAGGTGGGGTGGTTTACTTCTTGAGGTGTTGTAATTATAGACTGTCCGCACTATTCACTTTGCTGAGGTCATTTTGAACATGAAATAAATACTTTTGCAGCCTGTTTGAAAATATTTCATATGATCTGTGAGTGAGCATGGAATCTCTTGCGGAAAAAAAAAGAAAAAGAAAAAAGTAAAATCTAGCGTTGCGTTTTAAAATTTGTTTTTATCAATATTTTTCTCTTTATCATATCATTGTCCTTTTTATTACAGTATTTTTTGTCGATAACGTAGAATATTTTATATAGAATACATCAAGATGTATCTAAAAATAATCCGGCATATTATGTAGAAGTGCAAGTGTTTAATTAATTTGGAGTAATCAACTTTCCCATTAATAGTATAAAGACAGAAATATTCTTTGAAGTTGTGCGAAATATTTCAAACAAACCTTTTTTAATAATTCATTTGCATTAAATCGGTTATTTAAAAAATGGCATGGGTATTTTTTTTCTAACTTTTTTTTTTTTTTTAGAATGAAATAATAAGTATTTATTCTAGAGATAAAGTAAATATGGTAATAAAATTTCAGTTTTTATTTTTTCAACAATGCAAAGGTTTATTTAGAAGTTATAAAAATTGTAGTAAAACGAAAATAAAATATCTATTTTAATTATTAAGTCCATTNACAGAAATGAGTACCCCAGTAAGATGTGTGATTACCTTGGACACTTATGTACATGTTGTATCTGTTATTTGTGCTGTCCACTAAACTATTGAAGTTATGTGGACATATGAGGCATTGTCCCACTCTTCTCTCAAGGCGGTTTTCAGCTCTTGTATGGTTTGGAAAGGGTGTGTACTTTGTGAAACACGTCTACTAAGGGCGACCTAGGCATACTCTATAGGATTTAGGTCCGACGAGTATACAGGTCATTGCATAGGGTCAATATCTTTACTTCCTAGTGTGTCCGATATCTCAATTCACCTGTGTGGCTGTTTGTCGGCCACAAACAATACACCACACCCCTAAAAAGAAAAACATCCAGAGCAGTCTCTTTGCTATACCACTGCGATGTAACGTTATCTCGCTCAAGGATGTGAAGCGGTGCTCAGTCATTGTGATTGATGCCCGCCCTCACAGGCACGTTTATAGTGCGGCTTTGAGGAGAACTCCTCCATACTAAAAGTCTGGAATTGTCTGCTG